ACTCTGACAGACACTTCACAGCATCCTGGAATGAGTCAATGGTGGCCGGGAAGTGCTTTTCAAATACATTCGCTGAGGAGACACAGGAACAAAAGCCAGACTTGAATTTCAGCTCAAATATACATGAGAACATAAGCAAGGTTACAAGTGAGAGATGGGCCATTCGGCCATTTAGCCTATTTGGCAGTTACACTGCAGTAGCTAATTGATCAGAGGATCTTATCCAGCCACTTCCTGAATGAAGCATAAATCCTTATGCTTTTTTATTCAAGCTGTATATCCCCTAGGGTAAATGTGTTTTTACAACACAAACATCACCAACAAAGAGTTCAGGACAGCAATATAAATAATCTTAGGGACCATCTTATAATTTGCAAGACATTTTAAATAATAATGAAATAATCACATTTAACGAAATTATGAGCTACTGTATTTGACAATATGCTTCTTGTTTTGAGCTCTAAATCCCCTTTGTTCTTTGTTTTTAATTTTCCACAGTGTCATTTTTCTGGCAAATGAAATTCTTTTTACAACCTGTACAGCTGTATCTAAAGAAGACCCCACTTCAAGGTTAAGGTTGCTCTTCTCCTCGAGGCCTCTGTGGAAGTAGCTCTGTATTTATACACTGTGACATCTGTAGGTGGATGGAATGGTCCTGTACTGACATTCATCACATCTTACTGTCAAAAGCTTGAAAGCTTTGCTGTGCAATAAGAAATAAATGTGGACTTACTGTACCTAGACTAAATATAACCAGAGGAGAGCAAAACAATCCCATTCTTTTTCAGCAGGGATCAAAAATAAGAATAACCGCGCAGAGCTGGTGAAGAGCAGGGCAGTGTTCACTTACTGACGATGTGGCCTGTCGTCTGGAAGGCCAGCTCCACTATGCTCTCATCCTGATCTGAAGCAGCCAAGTGAAAGACCGAAAAGATGTTCTTCCAGCCGGATCGGATATTACCAGCCTGGGAATTCACCATCTGCGCTATACACCGCACTACCATGTCTCGAATTGTGGGCGATCTGTTAAAAAAAAAACGTCAATATGTTCACAAAAGAAGTGATGAGACATTCCTTGTGGTTTCACGCTACACAGGCAACATTATTTATCCTGATGGAAAGAAATTCAGTGCCTTGGTTTAGCATTTTTTAACAGCAACTCATTTTAGAGCAAAGCACCAGTACACATGAAAGTCTGGCCTGCTTTGTTCTGAAACAATGAATAACACTGAAAGCTCTCTTTTGCAGCCACTGGAGTTAATTGAACTTGTGAATTGAATTGTGCAGCTTCACTCCTCAGGGGCTGTTAGGCCTTGCAGTCTCAATTATTCTTAAGTACATAATTGAATTTATGAATTCCTTAACTAAACTGATTTAAACCTTTCTGTGACTTAAGCTGTGTGTTATTTAACAAGATCAAAAAAATAGTTAAGAATGCAGCCTTTCAGATGTGGTTCTGCGCAGTGCTGATTTTCAGCTTATGCCTCAGTACTACAGGTGTGCTTTGTGAACAGGAAGTGGCCAAAAACTGAAAAGCCCGGGCAAATGGGGCTCATGCAGATAATATCCCAGCATGCTTAACATCATGTATAAAATGCTGGACAGGTCTAGTTGCCTTTAATTGTGGCTGGCATGGCTGGAGAGGAGACCTTGGTGACTTTGAAAGAGGGGTGATTGTTGGGGTGTGTTGGGTAGTGACCACTGTCTAAGGTGATCTGCAAAGGCAGGACATCATCAGCAAAGGTTAAAAGTGGGCAGAAGCTCATACACCGTGATCTGGACATCCATGCAATAAGTTGAAGTGCAAGGCAGAACAGGCGAGCAACTAGAGATCAAATGCATATTTGAATGTGGGGTGTGAGCAGCCAGTTGAATTCAACACAGCCCCCTGTGAGCTCCGCAGAGCGGGATACCGCCGTCGTTGTGCAGTGCACAAACCACTCATCACGCTTGAGACGCACTTGTGCTTTTTGGGTCCAGTAGTGCATAGGGCACCGGCAATAGACTACCGAACAGTGGAGAAATGTGATCAGGCTTCACTGTATTCTCAACAAAAGTACGAGTACACTCGTGGCACCAAGCTAAAGATCCCTACAGCCCTGTGTGATTCAACAATAGAGGGTTCTGGTGGTTCTGTCATGTTTTGGGGTGTATTTTGCTGGCATGGTTTAGGTGCTCTCATCCCCTTAGAAGGCAAGGTAAATACTAATTGCTACTTAATGGTACTGAGTAATTCATTCCATCCCATGTTGCAGCTTTTCTTTCCTGTCAGGAGGGGAACAGGATCAGGCCATTTTCAAACATGTTTTAGTGTTGCTAATTCCTACCACACCAAACTTCCTTCCTGGTTTTAAGAAGAGGTTTACATAACCTAGAGTCAGCTTCAGATTTTTCAAAGACTTCTGATTTGATCTGTTGTATTAGCATTAACCAATCCTGATCCTGAAGAACCTGTACCTTCTGTTTTTTGCTCAAACGAAGCTCCTGACTGATTGATAGTTTCATGAACCCTCAACTGAAACAACTGTCTGATTTTGAACAGTTCTCTGTTAAATCTTAAATGCCCTTCTTTTACATGGAAGGACATTTAAAATAGAGAACAGGACACACTCTTTTAGACAAAGGATTGTGGGAGTGTGGAACAAGCTACACAGACAGCTTCAGTTGTTAAAGCTGATACTTTGGCTTTAACAAAAAACACAGCTAAGATCCTCCCACCAATTAGCTACTATTCACCAAACAGGACAGATGGACCTCTCATTTCTAACCATTCTTAGAATCTGTATGTGTAGAGTTCTGTTTCCCCATAGATTTCTAAATGACATAAATAACATTGCATTGCAAAGCACTCACCACCTTCCAATGATATCCTAGTTTGTTAAACTGCAAATGATTAGATAGATAAATTTGGTCTAATCCCGAATTATTTTTATGGGTGAAAGCAGTTAAATATCTGCAAAATCTGCAACAAAAAAATCAAAACCTAGAATATGTTGATTGTGTACTATTCACCCCCGTTAGCCAGTACTTGGCAGAAGCAATTCTGCCTGCAATCGCAGCTGCAAAAAAGTATTTTTGGGTAAATCTCTAACCGGTTTGGACACCAGGATGGTGTAATTTCCTTCCTTCAAAACTTGCTCAAGCTCTGGCAAGTTGATTGGGAACTGGGAAAAGTGGACAGTTTTTTTAAGTCCTGCCACAGATTTGTTGACATTTAACTTCTTTCACCAACAAAAGCATTTGGTTTGAGCATTCGAGTTTTTTTTATTAAAAATACTGACTTTAAAAAAATATGTATACATCATTTTCTAGTTAAAAAAATGGGACATCATTAGAAGGAGCAAATACTTTTGCAAAGCACTGTATGACATTGTCTTGAAACCATAAGAATTCTAAGTTTTGTGCAGACCCATTGGTTAAATCCTACCTTAAAACAACAACCTGAAATTCTGAAATCCGGCTTCTCGCACAGGGTTAATGCTAATTTCTAACCGTCTCTTAAAATTCAAGAACTGGAGTACATTTTAAAAGCAAACAGCTCAATTAAAGGTTCAATACAATTAAAAAGACTGTACTTGGAAAAGAAAACAGATGTCATAGAAATATTCTAGGACCACAACTGTTGTCAAATTTATATGAACTTCAATAATATCTGACAACTTATGCTGAAGGAAATCTAAAATGTTTTAAATGTATTATGGATAAAGGTTTAGTTATGCTCAGGTATTGTAACTAAATTTCTCATCCTGCACACATGCTAGTGCTGAACCAGTAACGTCACAAGGGGGTGACATATAGTTATTTAAAGACTGCACAGAAAAGGAAATGTTTAAAATGATGCAGGTATGTCATGCTCTTGATGAGAATTTTGCACATTTAATGGGAACTCTATTACTAATATATGCATCACCTATTTCTGAAAAGAATAATTTCTGTAAACTTTCCGCAGTTTCTGCACTACTCTCTAAATCCCTGCTGGTATATTATTGATTTACCCACTAAGCACTTTTTTCGGCAAAAGTGTCAGATATTTTACAACTTCTTGGGTGCCGACTGTCTTTCATTAATTTAGTATTGCTCAAACATTGTTTTTACTTCACAGTGTCGATGTGTTTACATGCAATTTGTTAATTACTATACAGAGGGGATTTGGGTGTTGACCTGAACATATGTTTAATTAAGAGAGCATTCTTTCCTTAACAAACAACAGTGAAAATATTTATTTTGAAATCTCAACATATAGCATTTTTATTATTAGATCATTCTTAAACTTGCTGGTGAAGGGTTTAACTTCAAAACGTACACAGTTTGCTAGGTGCACCTGTGTGTACTGCTGCTTCCATGGTTAATTAAAGGGGAACTGTGCTCCCAATTTCTCAGACTGGTTATTAAATCTCGGTAAGAAAATAAATGAATTCACGTCAGAAAAATGTTACAAATTTCGAATTGAGCACAATATCATGAACTTTGTGAAAGTACTGTAAGTTTCCATGTTGTTGCCAACTCGCATTCTAGTTCCCACAAATTGCGATGTGATGCAGCCCTTCCGGCTCACTAGTTTCCGTAATGACTAATGTTGCCTCATTCTGAACCACAGAATAAGGCACTGCGCACACATGGGAATTTAGTCTATTTTGTGGTGTAAAATGGAGGTTTTATAGTAACTGTGTACATTTTACTTTCATTGTGGTTTGAAATGCTGTTACCAATTCTGCCGATTCTTTCTAACCCCAAAACATAAAAATAGCATGTAGTTCCCCTTTAAAGAAGAGTGAGCCAGTTCCACAGGCAGCCATGCATGATACTACCTCAACTGTGCTGCAGAGTTGGTGAGCAGTTCCTTCCTTCCTCCACACTTCAAACTTTCCATCACTCGGGTAAAGGTTTACTGTATTTTGGTCCAATTTCCCATAAAACTTCTTCTAATTTATCTCTGTACTTCCAAGAAATTCTGAAGCATGGTGTTCGAATGTCATGGCCTGGGAATGTGCAGCTATCTCTTGAACTGGTTCACTCATCTATATTGATGATGAAGTTCACAGAAACACTGTCTTTTTATATAGAAGAACATACTTCGATAGGTACTGGGTGGTGCTTCACCACGTAGCATGACAATACTGCAAAACATAAAGCCAATGCAACCACGAAGCTCATCATCAGCTTAAATTCTTAAACTGGCCAAATCAATCTCCAGTTTTCAGAACACCCCTAAAATAGTCAAGAATTCATGGCTGCAGCAAGGCATCTCCAGTTATAAAATATACTTTTGTTCTAATATGATTGAAGAGAAGCATGGAAATATCCAAAAATAAAAAATAAAATATATATCGTACTTACCATTCATTATTAATCTCAATTAATCTAAAAAAATAACAGTTTTGACCTCGTCCAACTAATCACTGTTTGCCATTACCCTAACCACAGCATTTGTTCAACACCAGGAAAAAAAAAGTTTTCTCCTAGGAGCAAGAAATTTAATTAAACATGCCCAGTCATTCTACCTGTTCTTTTTCATGATATGTTCAAAAGGCCTCAAAAAATCCTTCTGGAATCTGAAATTAGCCAGCTCTCCCTTCTCCAAAAATTTCATGGACAGTTGCCTCAAAGAGTCCACTGCAAAAATAGCTACGTCCTCATTGGGATTACAGCCAACCTGGGAAAAAAGAACAAAATCGTTAAATGCAATTTCAAGCCCCTGATGTTCATGCAGTTTTAAAAAGCTCTCTTCTAAATAAAAAATGCACAAACAGCTCTACATTTCTGAACCTTCAGTGCTGATCCAGCATGTTTTTGAATATCTGGCCACAAAAAAACACCAGCAAACTAATCAGTAAGGCTTCAAACAGAAAACATTCAGTGAAGACAACACATATGCATCCATTTTTAACTATACATGCCTACCTTATTAAAATGGTCTCCAATTACTTCCCAGATTCGAGACCACTGGAGCCTGATCCGACCCATGTTATAGTAAGATATCTCCACTATCTTCTGAAGACTGAACATGCGTGGGTGTGTTGGGGAGGCCAGTTCATCCATTGAAACAGCACATAGCCATCGTACAAAATCAACTGCAAACAAAAGGAAGATCACTTATATTACAGATTTAACTTTGATGAAGTTATTTTTTTATTTTTTTAGGGTGCTGTGCTGATATTACAGGTAAATGCCAAACTACAGGAAAACCTGCCTCAAAATGCCCAATAAGAAACAAGAGTTTTTCCATATTTGAATGTTAAACATCATCTTATAGCAAGAAGACCCAGTATAACATACTGTACAAAGGTAAGCAACCACTAAGTGGTATCCACTTGACTCTGAGTTTAAGATTTTGCAACAATATGATATAATCTCCCTTCTTAGGTAGCAAAAGGGCATGGCAATATAGTTGTAGTAGTATTGTAGTAAAGCTGCAGTATAGTTGTAGTTGCCATAAAAATTCATTTTAGAATTGTCTTTGCTTAGTTCACATAGGTCTCTGGTTTGTGGATTCAATGCTTCTATTCAAATGTGGGTACGGAGCTGCAGCTTTCATGTTAATCAATGTATTAATCAGAGACTTGGGCTTATAGCAGCATCGTCTTCCAATCAGTGGGGACCACGAACAACCAGATATTCCCAGAATTGTCGAGGCAAAAGGTAACTTGACTGTTTTCTTTTAGTTACAGCTTCACTTGAGATCTGCCTCCTCCATTGGTTTAATTCTTGGTCACTTCAAACAAAGTTACTTCGAAGTAGGAAAAAAGTAACAGATGTTCTCACTTTTGTATTAGATAATGTTAACACTACTGTATGTGCATCTTTGTTGCAAATGAAGGTTCATACAGTTAAGAGTGAATTTCAGTGGTTCAGTGGGAAGTGTTTTTTTACGAGTAATGAACACCCCTGTCTTTACTGAGCCAAACATTAGCAAACATTTCTCATGGTGATAAGATTAGAATACTTGAATTATTCAAGTCAATTTTCTTCTCCAAAAACATTTTTTTGCCAAATACTTGCCAATTGCATTGCCATCCAGTCTAGTAGATCCTGTAAATATCCTACAAGAAAAGAGGCATAACAATATTCAAGTCAGACACACAAAACATTTGACAAGAGTGTTCCAGCAACATACCACAACACTCTATTGTTTGCCACAAAGTCAGTATCTTAAATAGAATGAAAAACTATTATGATTCTCCTGATGAGGTTTGACATTACAGCTGTAAATGAGAATTATTTTACAGTTTGATGGATCATATGAAGCAGGAGAAAGCTACGTGAAAGCATCAACACAGACAATGGAAGATAAGAAATACCTTTAATTTAACACAGAGAAAAACATGATAGTAGCTTTGTGGTTTGTTGATCTTTCTTTTCAGAGTTAACATTGTGAGACCCCTCTTTTTGATCAAAGCTGGGAAAAAAACAGATTTGCTCTGACTTTTCAAGGTAACTATTGCTGAGAAAGGAGATTTTGGAACTGGCCGAGGTTCAACATTTTTAAAAGCACTTTAGTCTCCACGACTTTAACAATGACTCGGGAATGTGTACCGGCCACATATGAAGCAGCTACGGATTTTCTGGAGCTCCTACACAAACTCACAAAGTCAGAACAAGCGATCGACAGCGATAAAAACTTGGTTTCCAAGCGCAAAAGAACGGCGCCAGTTTTAAAGTTGCAAAGGAACAGGCTGTGTTCACATCCCTCAGGAGACCGCCTCGTCAAGCCATGTGCTTCTCAAGCTGAACACAAAATTGCTTGCCAGTGTACTGGAAATCTCACCAGAAAGGCTTGGGTTCCTGCACATCTAGCAGATGAAGTGGAGATGCTACTTGAGCTAAAAGACTGAAACAGAACAAAAACTTTTTCCCCCCTACACTGGGTAACCAAACCCCATTATTTCTTATAAGGTGTTTTATGTGATTGTGGATCTGGCCTTTAAGGGGGTAGCCAACGTTCTGTTGCACATACACACATAAATATTATAGAGAACTACTATACCTGTCCACAGCCACCACTACACTCTGTGAGCTGGTCTCTCCAATAGACTCCTGAATGCTTGCTATTTGCTTGCGATCTACGTTTCCACCAACTTGTAAGATAGAAGGAAAAATGAAAAATGAGAATTGGGATTCTGTCAGACTTTGCATAAAATACATCTATTAAAAATCAGAACTGTCGTTTTACACTGAGTGCTGAAACAAACCAAATTACTGTGGTATGTCCTACTTCAAGTGCCTTAAAAACAAGTTGTTAGCTTTCCATAACAGAACTAATTTTTGACAAATACAGTAAACCCTCGTTGTAACGGACTTCGCTTTAAAGGACAAAATCTGTTAAAGGGAAACCTTGTCTGCAAAATCAGAAATACCAGACTTTTCCCACAACAGGGAAACATAATAATAAAACAAACCAAAAATAAATACAACATCGGCTTGAAATTCAGGAATAACTTTAGTGCCCTAATTGCTTTCGATGGGTGTCCCTTGTGTTTCGTGTGCTTTAGAGAATTTTATATATTGTGTATTTACGACAGATAAAATAAAGAGCTTTAATACTTATGAAAAAAAGGACTGTGTCGATTGCAATCATTAAAATAATAAATAAGAAGATCTAGAATGCATATATATCGTACTTCCTTTTTTCATATAATACTGTGTGTTTGGGTAGAAAAAAATTAATTTGTGATGTAACAGAAAAGCCAGACACCTCTTCCCCACTACACCTGTACCTCTTTTAACAAGCATTCTTTTAAAGAAAATTCAATACTACGAAGCATGTGAATTGATGCCCACATTTCAAGTAACGAAAGCCAACTTCGACACTACGAAGAAGTGATATTCTTCGGAACCTTTATAATAATCAGGAAATTTCAAAACCTCCGCCAAATGTAGAGAGTCAAGAGGAGGGCGTCATACAGTACGACTTGCTTCATACCGAGTGTTCGCATCACAGTCCACAAGCACAGTACAGGTGAGAGAAAGCACACCGCCTATGAAGCGGCAGATACAGTTCACAACGTTGTTCGCCATCATGTGCGCTCTTACTTTTCATATTTATTGTTTAGACTTTATCATGGACCTTACAGGTGTAAAGAAAATGAAAATTGTGAGCGTGCGTAATTTTGCAAAAATCAAATGAAGTGGTGAATGTTTATGTTTATTACATAGTCTAACTAGGTAAGCAGTTTGTTTTATACTAAAAACTCAAACCACACTGTGAATGCTAGTTATTATTGTTTTCATTGTCATTTTTTGGTGAAAAACAAAAGTAGGTGTGACATTTTTGGGGCCCAGAACGGATCATAATTGTTGCACCATAGGAAATAATGGAAATAGGTTTTTCTTTTTATGAATTTTCGCTATCTGGAAGGGTTTCTGGAGACGACTTATGCTGAAAAAAGAGGTATGGGTGTATTTGTCTAGTAAACAGAGGGTTTACTGTAAATGTTTTAAACAGCATTTTTCAACTCTGACTCTGAGAAGTTGTCCTGAGGAAATGTGGATCATCATCAGAGTATAATAGAGGAGTTTACTGCCATGTGTAGACGTGCACTGGAATTCTTATCCACGCTGATCTCTCGGACATACACAGTACAACAGGCAACACCACACAATGTAGACAGTACATCATAAATAATAACACAACAATAAATATGTTATACTGAAAAACAAACATGGTAGACCATGCAAAAAGTGCAGATGTGTACCAAGTCTGAGGCAGTGCAGTTAGCTGTTAAGGATGCGTACTGCAGTAGGATAGACATCAGATCTGATCTACGCGGTCCACATGGTCTTAAACTCACCCAGACCCAGGCCGACATACTCGTCAGAGCTCAGCTCCTTGGTCCCGGCGATGGGTCCCTCTTTGCTGCGCACCGTCCCAGAGATGTAGCGGGCCTTCACGCCGGTTCCGATCAGCTGGGCCAGTTCGAGCTGGCTGATGCACTTCAGGATCTGCAGGCGGGACAAGAGCACGGGGGTGGGGGAGGAGTCAGGGGGCGGAGCGATGGCTCTGTGGCTCAGGACCTGCGCCTGTGGCTGGAAGGTTGCTGGTTTGTATCCCGCGGCCGGCAGAGGAATCCTACTCCGTTGGGCCCCTGAGCAAGGCCCTTAACCCCAGCTGCTCCAGGGGCGCCATATAAATGTCTGACCCTGTGCTCTGACCCCAAGCTTCTCTCCCTGTCTGTGTGTCTCATGGAGAGCAAGTTGGGGTATGTGAAAAAGACACATTCCTAATACAAGAAATTGTATATGGCCAATAAAGTGATCTTAAAAGGATTAGAGCCTCCTCTCCATTCTTGCAAACACAGCGCGCAATTCCGAGGAAACCACAGAAAGAAACAAAAGCCTGGAAAGAGGGGATCTGAAAGACTGAAAATATTTTGAAATATACTCAGAATAAATTTAACTGGGCTCAATTCCACTGGTCAAACTGTAATATTTTATTTCACGCTGAATTGCTAACTTTTGTTACATGGGCATCAGGTATTACGATGGGTGTAACATCTTGGAAAGATAAAATTCACCGACAGCTTAGGAATTAATAATGTGTGGTAAACACTCCAAAACACCCCCTCTGTATGTGATATTCCAGCTCCCTCTCACCTCATGCCAGGAGTTCCCTAAGTAATTGCCATCTGTATGAGCCACTGTGATGAGGGTCTTGATGGTGTCTATGTTCTTCTGCTTCATCTCAGTGATCCCGGAGCTCGCGGTCAACAAGGTGAACCTGGCCAGCGCCTGGACGTACGCGTCCCTCTCCAGCTGGACAAGCAGGGAGCAGAGGAAATACCATGTGGGTTGGGCTGAGCAAACTAGCTTGCCTGCGCTTTGCAATGCAGACAGTGCCAAAAAACACAAACCTCACGTCTCTGCATGAATTCAACAGTATCAATTATCCAAATCATTTCTATGAATAAAATCAAAAACGTCTAGACTATTAAGGTCCAATGGGTAGAACACTTAACATTATTTTATGTCAAAGAATTCGCACTGAAGTTCCAATTTCCCAGACTGGCTATTAAAGCTTGGCAACAAAATAAATACATTGTTTTCTTCATTAGGTTTTACAAATTCCGAATTAAACACAAACTCCTGAAGTCTGTGAAAATACTGTATGGCTGCCATCTTGTCGCCAACTGCTGGTTTCACCATGGGCGAGACTGAGAGTTCGCAGAAATTGAGACGGAAAATTGGCCCTTCCTGCTCATAGGTCACTGTATTGACCAACATAATGTATTGTATGAGCAAATAAATACAGGTTGTGCAGCAGACATTTCACCACAGAAATGTTCCAACGTGATCCACAGGCAGAGTTAGCAAGTAGTATGTGTTGGCAAAACCGTCTCAAAGTTGAATTCAATTCAAATGTACTCATTCAAATCGGCAGTCTAATTGAAGGATCTAAATAACATGGTGCCTTGTTTTCATTGATTTCAAAACATTATATATAAATTAATACAGTAGCAAAATTTGCTGGGTTTAAAGTATGTGCTTTATTGCAATAGCATAGACTTTTTAAAATATTGTTAATTTGGGATAGATAATGTTTATTGAAATTTTCTCTGCTTTGGACTTGACATGATTATGTATCCTGCCAGGTCGTTATATGAAATATATTTTCATTTCAGATACTGAACCCAAATCTTGTGCTCAAAGCAGATGCTATTTTTATAATTTTTGCTCAGAAAAAGCAACCAATGAAAAAAATGCAGTGTGGGGGTGATATCAGTTCTTGATAGACAAATAGCAAACAAATCTATATTAATGATTTAAGTGATCCTTTTTATCATACTTATGTTAAAGTTAAGATGTGGATTAAATCTGGTTTTCCAACTAAGATAAATATTTCTATGGGATTCAAAGAGGTTCACAATAGCCGCCTCATGTCAGCAGAAGTTCTGTTGTCTCGTTCTGAATCGCAGACAATGCTGGCAGTGATGGTCTATTCTGTGATGTATACTGGAGGTTTTACCGATAACCACGTACTTTCATTGTGGTTTGAAATTAACTCAATGTTGATTGTTTCTGACCTTAAAATATAAAAATAGTGGTGCAGTTCCTCTTTAAAGGGCACATCCTCTACAGACTTTAATCGTGTTTGTTTTAATATCCAGCAACTCGCCATCACTCCTCACTTAACACCGTGTACATGTTATGTTCACACTGTAACAACATTCCCAAGAATTTGTGCCTGCAGGTAGACACAAGTCAAATGTAGTGTAGTTATTTCCACAGTTACACTGACAAAACAGCACAAGAAATGGATACAGAATCCAAACTAAGATTGTGGAGGAATTAATTCCAGGTAAGTGTTTAGTATTTTAAAATAAATGTGCTATTTCTGCATGCAACAGACTGTAATAGCAGTTACTAAATACATCACAAAGGTTATACAATAATAGCAGATGTTGTATGGTGTTAATTTTCCCTTTAGACACAAAGGCAATCAAATTTCTCTGCCTGAAAAATTGAACCTTTTTTGATTTTTTTGTTGTTGAGAATTCGATCACATTTTTTAGAGCGGTTATGCTGAAGTTTTAAAGACAGCATTGGATTTCACAGATTGAATTTTTTGGGACAAGCACACTACAAATAAATGCTGGAGTGTGATTACACTTAAATCATTTTTCTCACAAATGGATAAAGCAGATAGAGATAGAGAATACATGTGGTTTGAGCAGGAGCAAAATTGCTTTTAAATGACCACTTAAAAGACCTACAGGATTATATATTTTAGAGCAGTACTTTTAGGGGTTTTTAGGGATTTGTCTCATTGTTACAATCACTATCTCTTCACAGTATTAAACGCCAGCCACCAGAAGCACTAAGGAAATAATTTCCTCTTCAAACCCAAAGACAAAATACAAATCCTGAAAGGGGTATAAGAAACGTATAATAAAAGACTTTAAGCATCAAACGGATTGAACTAAAGACTTGTGATTATTAATACACAGCTGAGATGTTTCATACAGAGGAATACCATGAGCTCTACATGTCATAAAGAAGAAAAACAGATCCAATAAGAAGTCATAGAACTAAAATAAAAATAACTTCACAAAACTATGTAAATGCATAATGGATTGTATAATTAAGGATTTTTGAAAATAATAGTCAACGGGAGGGGATTTAACTTTAATCTTGAATCTGTCTTTCTAGTCACCTGAATAGCAAAAATGCAAGCAATCCTGATGGCACACCGTATCCCCTCAAGACACAGTGAAGCCACATCGGTGTCATCACAGTCTTGCAAGCCAACACTGAAGGCAGCTAGGAACGGGGTCCAGGCCAGCTGTGGAAAGAGAAAAAGGCTGCAAATCAGAACTGATTTTTCAAAAAGATGCATATGAGAGCAGAAGTAGAGCAACCTCCGCCATATCCAGGAGAAAACGCTCGTCATCAGCTGCGTGCAGTTACAGTACATGAGCAATGCGGTAAGAAGCACTGAAATCTTGGAGACATGTCAGAGATCAATGCATTGAGGCGGAATTTTCTCTACGTAGCATGATATCTTAGCCACAGTGGTTTTGATCCGAACGATGAGCAAGCTTTGACTGTAGCCAAAAAAAAGGACGGTGATTGAGAAATAAACAGGTTTCAGCCATACGAAAAAGTCTTCAAAAATGAATTACAAAAGTAAAAAAAGAGATAACGATCCAACTGTCAAAACGAATTTACTTGTCAAGTCTGATAACTAAAAACGTGTGGATAACATATTAAAGATAGTGAACATGACGGATTATTCAAATCCACTTCCACCACCGTACAAAAGTGATTTACTTTCAGTTCACAGATAAAACCAGATAAATCCAACCTTAACCACAGGGGCGATGACACAAATAGAAATCTCACATTGGTTTTTATTTTAAGCAAGAAATATAAAGCAGCACACACCACGGTGAGCCGAACAGGTCCGCCGGGAGTCGGGCCTACCTTGAACATAGGCCGAACGTGCTCCAGGTGGGTGGCGCTGGTGAAAGGCGCTTGGACGTGACTGACGGCCTCCATCAGCGCTTTGGCAGTCTTCGCCATCTGCTCCATCTCCACATTGTACAGCAACCGTCTCTGCTTCTCGCTGGCCACACCTGGCGCAAACAGCACGGCGGAGCGTTCAGACTCGGCAAAACCACACCTCCACCGGCACAGACACACACGCACGCCGCCCTGAAGTGTCGGTGTGAGGGATCCGTGAAGGTTTTCTTTGTCACTGCTTCTCACGTGGCTGTCGAGACCCTCACCAGACTAAGTGGCTTTCTGATAAAGGAAATGCAGATCTTCCTCATACATCTTGAGCCTTCCCATCTATCCATTTTCTGACCTCTATATCCAATACAGGGTTGCCGGGGAGCGGGAGCCTATCCCGGCAAGCAACAGGCCCAAGGCAGATACAGTACACCCGGACAGGAAACCAGTCCTTCACAGGACACACACAGACACAAACACACTCGCTCCAGGGCCAATTTTCCCAGAAGCCAATTGACCTACTGGTAGACATTAGACATCCAAACTGTGCTCATTAAGACCCAAAGTAAAAAAGGGTGAGTAACTATATAATATATATATATAGTAACTACTGGATTCAACATCGAAGGTATTAACATATTCAATACCAAGTTATTGCGCACTGAAAGGACAGGAGCCATATTTTTCTAGCACATTTTTTTAGCCGTATTTTTGTAGCACTTTGTCACAAAAGATCCTAAGGAGCTCTACATACAAGAGGGGACCCACTGAACTACAGCACCCACCTGGGTAGCATGTAACAGCCAGCTGCCCCTCTTCACTGCAGGTCAGCTGAATGGATGGGGAAAAGGAAGGCCTGATTGTGCCCAAGCAGTAAATAGGCAGGAAACCAGGTTTAACACCCCTGCTCTTATTAACAATGCCAGGGGCTCTTCCATGACCAAGCAGTCATGAATTTGGTTTAACGTCTTATCCAAAGGATGGCATGCCCTACAGCATGATGTCTCTGGAGAGCAGAGTGGGGGAATCACACCACCAGATTCTACCAACGCCACAGCCAGCAGCAGCAGTGTGGTTTTCTTTAGAGGTCTCCTATCCTAGTATCGGCCAGGTCCAGTCTTGCTAAGCTTGTTTCATCTTGGTATCTCAGTCACAGGTGGTGAATGACATACTGTAGCTCACTTTGCCCACTGAACTGGAAATGTCTGGACAGTAAAATGCTTCCTGCTCTTCATATGAGCACTTGTACTGGTTGGGAACCCCACAAACAACCTTTAACTGCAATGTTTAGCCACTCTGCGAAACGATCTCTTCTTTATACTGAACAACAGCTTCCAATTTGATTTTGCCTTTATCCTCTATTATAAACTCTCCATCATTTCAGATGGTCTTTTTAGACCACAGAGCAATGACAGTAAATGTTATAATGAAAATCAAGTGGACAAAAAACAGGATAGGCAAGACAAATACTGTATGGAATTGCAAAAGAATAGAGATTACATCATTTATAGAAAGGGGTTACGTGTACGTGTTCAGAATCACTTTTACTGTCAAATCCTTTTCTTATTTGCCTGTGACTTTTTCATTTTTGTGAGCAAACATTTTTAGCTTTGGACTGGCATTAAATAAATATCCCAGAATGTATTCAAACCTATCACTGTAATTCCACAATTATGAGAGGATAGATTTTATATCCCTTAAGGCAAGAGTGTCCAATTCCAGCCCAGGGGGGCTGGTGTGTCTGCATACTTTCTAGGTCTGTATAAAGCAAAAGCTAAAAGGAAGGAGAAACTGTCAAATTGGTCCAATTAAGCCAATAACAAGCTGACGTTTGTCAACAAACAAAATCCTTCAGACACACCGGTCCTAGACAACTTGGATTGGACACTACTGCCTTAGAGAGTAAAGCCCACACTCCACGTGTTAAATTCCGGGATAAATTAATAGAAACAGTCCAAATCTGTTTTCTCCTTCTTTGTCAGGATTACAGCATCTCCTGCAGCTGCCATAACACTACTTCAAGAAGGTAGTTTTTAATGCAATGTAAATTGTGTTAAATCAATTATATATTGTTATAATAATAACAATGACTTTATTAAATGTATGTATTCTTAAATAATTGGTAAATCTATTTATTTATTAGGAATTAAGACAGAGATCCTAAACATGACATTTATTAAAGGTGATAAAACATAACAAGCTATTTTAGGAAACACAGGGCTGTCTCTTCCAGCAGACAACATTTCAGTATCTATGAAAAGTCCCAGCAAGCAGAAACAGACAGCCACGTAACAGGCCAAACTCATGGACACTAACACCAACACGAACTTTCTTCATTGTCTCCAACATTACCAATATCAATGCTGTAAATTCATTTGAGAACACTGGCCTTCAGTTCCTTCATCCTCTTGAAAACTACCACCTGTGAGCACTTGAATGCAATTCCACTCTGGAATCACCAATTGTCTTGACTACTTGGTCATTAGAGATCCCAAGCCCTTTTTGAAGGACTATGGGTGTTAACCCAGGGGTCCTGGATAAATTCCACTCTGGACTTGCACAAACACCCTAAGGCTTCACCTTAATTCATCTGTTTAAGACCTTTCAAAATTCTCTACATGGCCTACTGTAGAATCGGGCTGCTGGTGCATATTTCCCCAGGTGGGAGCTGCTCTTCACTGCTGGACAAAGTGGGTTTCCATCCTATACTGTATGTAAAGTGCTTTAAGATTCTCTGGGATGAAAGGAGCAATAGAAATGCAATGAATTATAATTTAATTCTATCTTACTCTGCTTATTTGATTTAATCGTCAATTCTTTCGTCTCCTTCATAGAAATCTTCTTTCCAGCAATTTCATCATAGATGGCTGAAAGATATTCCTCAGGCAGGTCTTTACTGTCATTAATTCCTCTGTTCATTTTAATGTATTGCTCTTTTGTCATTTTATTCTTCACCTACAAGAAAAAAACAACAAGGTTTAACCATCAGTGTTTAAATTCTCACTCAGAGGCAACAAAGCATTTCTAAAGCTAGGACACAATTTGTTTTTTCTCAACCTGTCCCAATTCACAGCTTACAATAATGGGATAAAATGAGTGTAAAGTCTAACTGGAACATAAGAATGTTATGGGTTCTCCCTCTGTGCTTGAGTTTGATAGAAATAAAGATACATTTAAGTATTTTTTTATCTTACATTATGGATACTAATGCATTTAAGAAAAATAATACAGAACAGACATTTTACTTTTCAAGCTGTGTTTTTCATTACCACTACATCATTGTACAACGCATCTTATCGAGTGGTTGTTTCTGTCGATCTGTTTTGTTTTGGTACTACAGGGTACCAATCTGGAGAATGGGTCATGCCATTTGCTATGCTGGGACAGGCACCATGGGGCACACAAAATCTGCATTACAGAATTCACATCTACAGAACACAGGACACAGGACAAGAAAGCAAGGCGATCTGCTCCAGAAACCCACCTGTGGACTGTGGAGGTCTGTCGTCAGCATGATGATGGAATAAGCGAGGACATAGGCGGTGTCTGCGCTTGCAAACAGAGTTTGCCTAAAAAAAAAAAGTATTATGTGTGAAACACCTCTGCACATCCACAGGAACATATATGAAGACGCTGTCGATACACAAGGTGAAGATGCAGTGCTCATACTGACTCCTAGCTGTACATACTGACCCCTGGTTGCATTCTAAGTATCTAGCAGCAAATTTCTCCATCAATCGATCTATCTTCTGAGCTTCACCGGGGAGGCGGAATCCCTCCAGGAACATGCGGAGCGCGGAGACGAAGTCCTTGCCCTGGAAGTCCATCTGGTCCACGTAAGCGTACATCACTTCCTTGTTGAAGCGGTCGTTGTCGCCCAGGAACTCGCCCACCTGGGTCTGATCGCGGGGGGGCAAGAGAATGATCTTTACACGACAAATCTGACTCAGAGGCCGGCCACTACACATGTGCAACACAAACACACTTCTGTCTCTTACAGGGTTTAACAAGAAATCAAGTCTTAAGGAGAGTATATGATGCTTTTCCTCCCACAGAAGGAAAAAATGCTTTACATACAGCAGGAGAGCCACTCATTTATGTGCAGAACCAGCTACTGAAGGCAACGTAAGGCAGCTGTTCTGTCCCAGCAGCCCTACCAAAAAGCAAATCTCGTGGAGAAGTGAGAAACTACTTTAATTACTGAATTAAGACAGCAAACATAAAGAGGCTAGACTATATAAGCTATATAGACTAGACTATATAACAATATAAAAGTATTTTTTTCAGACTAAAATTATAACACGACATCATTCATTTTATCAGTTACCTTAACACATATGACAAATGAGTGAATCAAAATTCAATCAAGACATACTGTAAAGAAAAAGGAACCCTTTTGTTTCATTCCATTTAATGCACAATGCATTCAAGTGCAATTAACTGTTTAATGAATCCTGATCTATTTTAAGACAAAAAGTTGAGGAGTTTTCAACAAATTTCAGCACGATGAAAGAAATCCAATTAAGGAGCCACACACAAAACAGTCAAGGGGTCTCTTACAGAGTCTAGTCTTTCCTCCTGGTGCAGAAACTGTGCGATATCTTCAGGGGTGGTGCCGAGCATTCCTTGCTCTTGCAAATACTGGATGCCTCTCTTTGGTTTTTTATTGAACCTGTGTGGGAGACAGTGGTACAGTCTGTAACTACCCAGTGGCCTATTACTGTAGCTCCTCTCCTGCCCACATGTCAGGCAATGTGCACGTAACAGGCGGGCACACTTACAGGTCAATGCCTTGCTCTATTATCTCTTTTTGCTGCTTGAGAACCTCAAATTGCTCAGGGTTGTCGGTTCCCGACATCTGCGTGCTGTAGCTGCCTATTCCTGAAGATGCCGTGGAGTCTAAGGAATTGATGCTTCCATACCGGTTGATGGTTTCAGGGTGTTTAGTTTCATTGGTTTCTTGCTCTGAAGGCTTTTCTTGGCCTGAGGGGGGAACACAGGGAATACAGAGAATACAGTTAATTTACTGCATACAGCAGATAAGTAAGAAAGGGAGTACTTACTATTTAATAATAACAACAACAATAATAATAACACACACCTAGGTGTGTACTGGGTGTGGAAGACGCAGTAACTATGCACCAGAAACTGACTGTTGACTGCTCACAGTATTAAGGACAGATTTTAGGGAGGCCAGATTTTACAATCCCAGCAAGGAATTAGCCAGGACACGGGACCCTCTTAACACATTTTAAGTCAAAGGACAGAGCCTCCTACAGCACAGTGCTTGCAGTCACCATGCTGTGGTATAGGTTAGGAAACTGTAGTCCAGAAGGAAACATTTCACATACAGGTGCACTAACATCACCCACAGCAGAAACCTGGCTGTCCTCGGGGGCCCTATGATCAGGATTGCTGCACCCCTGTCTATACAGTAAGATTAAATATGATGTCAACATTATAACGCACTGGACTGGAAACCACATTAGAAATGTCCAATAAAGCTCCAGACAACAAAAACTATACTAAACCATCAGGCAGGGCTCTAAGTCTCAGCGTGGCCTTCAGCAACAGGCTTGAAGCAAAGGGAAGGCTGGGCTCCAGGGAGCCCTGCAAAGGCAAGATAAATCTACTGCTAGAAAATGAATTTGCAGATGTGTGCTTCTGATCTTGTGCTGCCTGAATAGGCTCTTATTACTGCAAGTACTGGAAAGCCTCTGAAACATTCTATGTGGCAAGATAACATCCTGCGCTGGTTAACCCATCTCTCCCATAGCTGCAGTCTATTCACGGACAGAAACAGGAGGTGCGAGAAAAATGCTCACTTATTCCAAGTGGTATTACCCTGCCTGTATTCAGATTAGTGAAAAACACATCTATAGCTTCTGTACTATTTATCTGTGCAATAGCTATAGAGAGTATTTAAGCTGAATGGATTTTTAAGCGTAGTCTCAAGGCAACCTCACGGTATTTGTAAATACAGGTTCCTGCCACAGTGTGGTAGAGAAGTAATGATCAGTACAGATCAGCGTACTGTTTCAGCGTACCTCTGCCTCCAACAGTGGAGGACGATTGTGAAATGTATGTTGTGAGGAACTGTACTTTAAAAGGCCGCACTTTTGCAAATGATGTGTATACATTTTCAGTACTAAGCAGATATTCACGGACTTTCTGAAAAGAGAACAATTACAATTGCTAAGCAAAAAGGACGAGCCAAGGAAGGTACTGCATCTTAAGAAAAAAAGAAATCAACTACCAGTGATGACAAAAAGCTTTTTTAAACCCATCACCAACTGAAACAAAACCTTAACTACTGTTACTAAGGCAACCTGCTTCTATCAAAAAACAAAATCACTTCTTTTGTAGTTACCTGCTCTTCCTGTTGAAGCCAGCCCATGAAAACCAGTAAGTAGTAACGCACCAGTAAGATGAACAAAAACAAGATTTAGGGAAAGAGACATTTTTGTAGAATATCAATTTAAAACATGTAAAAACAATTCCTCACAAGTGAAAAGAAATCAAGAAATATTATTTGCAAGAGGATGAAAAATGTCCTTAACATTTCATGTAGTTCAAAACTCTGAAGGGACATTAAACTGCAGTCCAAGCTTCTGAATTATTTGTGCGTTGAACTTGTGACGTTTTTTAACTGCTCCAGAACCTCACCACTCCAAACTCATTCCACTTCGAACCGAAAGCAGTCAGCAATTTTGTATTGCAACAATCACAAGGTGTAAAGATACATGTTGTTTCTGCGAGATGGGTACGGGTCACAGCGACAAGGTAATTTACGATGTTGGTTTCATCAGTCCACAAAGAAATGAATCCGTTGCCCTAATTGAAAACCATCAGACAGCTTCAGTAAATCTTTTCTATAGTGAAAAGACTGCAGTATCAGCAAAATACCTCTATTCTTAATTCTATTACTTAATCAACAGTCACCTTGGAGAATCATGGATTAATGCTCCCAGTCTGCCTATTCCTCTAAGGGTATCTGGTTACCTCCCCGTGAAATAAGTCAGGGATGTTTGATTAAGATAAAGTTGCAGCCCCTGTGCTTCATTTCACAGCTTTTCAAAACCCAGGAGCCCGCACTGAAACAAACCCTGCCATTCATTTTACTTCACCTGTCAAAAAATACTGTAAATATATCACTTTCTCCAAAAGTGTTAACAGGGAGGTGGCATTAAAATATGATGAATATTAAAACGCACTGTCACTTTGTCTTGCTGCTTTGAAGCACTTCACATCACCCACTGTATAACCTTTCAGCTTACTCACACAGGAAAATGTGTCCCTGTTTAGTGATGAATCTGTAACCCTACACCCCACTGCTAAAACAAGCAACACTGAAGAGAAAGCTGCTAGCATTTTTTGTCCTCAGCTGTTTGCATAGGGTGAAGGGTTTTGACAGCAATTCAGGTCTTACCGAGGCTAGTCTGAGAGTTTGGATTGACGTACTGATCTTTACTCCACTCTACCATGCATTTCAGGATAGACACCAAGCACTCCAAACCCTTCTTCCGTAGGCTCAGCTCCTGAAACACAGTTTTAGAACGTATTTACTATATGGTAAGTCAGATTGTTTCAAATCACAGAAAGAAAACGGTGACTGGCATACAGTGCCATCTGTAATGCTTGACACACGGAGAAAACCTGGCTTCAGTTAAACTTTGTGGGCCACATTCATAAAACATTTACATTGTACTAACTTTACCACTTAAGTTTATTGAAAGAGAAATGACCAAAATAACATCATAACATTAAATGTGTTTTAGAAACTCTTAAATTCCGATGTTGTGAGATGTGTGTCTCTTCCCATGTTTTTTTTATGTGTAATTTTCCATAAGGAAAATCCAGGTCGTAATTAAGCATGTTGGCAGGACTAAAGCGTAACGCAAGAAAAGCATTTAAATAGCCGCTCTGAGATTTCTTTGTAGAACGGATTTTCAACTTTTTCTTGCAATGATGTCCATCTTTGGGTACTCATGACTGAAATCCATGCTGTGGTGATGCCCCATCATCGAAAAGAGGTTGTGCAGAGGGCAAGAGAGCTGGAGGGAAAGTAACTGCTTTTAAACTAGTGGTGTAATTCTGCAAGGGAGAAAAAGGATTTTTTTTCTCCAGTACTCTCTCATTACCATCTTTAAATTTGGCCTTTGTGACAGCCTGCCCACCCTCAAATTTGCGCAGCGAGTCAAACATGGCAAGTACTGTTTTTTTCTCTTTACATGCCATCACAGTACATTATTTTAATAACATTTTAAATGGAAGATGCAGACTTGAACAGATAGAGACGCTTGCCAAACTCTCTCCCCTCTCTTCCCAAGATCACGTCTCCAGAATTAAAACGGATGTGTGCTTCCTTGCCTATGTTATATTTTCGGGTTGTGATCCCTCTTCCTCCTGTTAGGGTACTGGGGCACCCTAGAATTCTGAACGTCATATGAAATGGAAGCGTCTGTATTAAATGCTGTGTTCAGGAGTTGTGCTTGGGACTCTGGATTCTAAAATGGCTTCTCCGATTGCAACAGTGGGTACTTCAAGGGCTGCAAGAGATTTCACATACACTGCTCAGTTAAACTCAGTTAATAATGCTGCCGGACAAATTGGCAAGCTCCAGGTCGATGCTGTAAATCCAAATTTGCTCCTGATTCACGAGTCTGGTTAAAGGATTAAATAAAAGTCCTCCATTTTACTGTGTGAGGGATTGGCTAGCGCCTTAGTTCTATCAATTGTCATTTTCCCTTCTTTCTTGGGAGGAAAAAGCCTATCTTGTTCAGTTTAATTGGAACAAGATAAAACCCCTATATCTGTGCCCCGTTGAAGAAAGTCTCTGTGCCGCACGAAAAGTCTGGTCTCTTCGTGTAGACCTCATTTTAATTAGTGTTAGTATTGAATCGCTCTGTATGTGATTTGTTCTGTTTTAAAAAAAAAAATAGAAATGTGTTATATGACAAAAAATAACAGTATCTGCATTTTACTTCTTTATTTCTTTTTCACTTATAAACCGGAAATAGCCTATAGGTCATCCACAAATTACTGCTCATTGTCACCTCTTACCTGAACGGGAGTCATGCCGAGCTCGTGTCCAGCCCTTCCTTGCGCAATCTTGGAGAGGTCATTTACTAGCCTTTCAAATATATTAGCAGCATTCAGGTCACAATCATAGTTCACATAAATATCCACCACACTCTGAGCATCTGTAATGTATAAAAACACAAATCAGAACTAGGCGAAAGGTTAAGATCCCAAGCACTAAATCAGCCACAGGTAAAACATGAAAAAGAGAAAAGCCTACTGTATGTACAGTAGGAAATATACTATACAGTTAACATAGCACAGAGTACTATAACTCACTGCACCTGCACATATCCTGGTAAGAGTCTGAATAACCATCCATTTATGATCAAAGGAGCTTGTGGAGGTCTCCAGAATGTAAAGAAAGATCTCCTTGAAGAAAACCTGAAAAAAAGTTAAAACTTTGCTGCTTATGCAAATACATGGTATATTTATATACTATAGCAAAGAAACGGAGTTCCAAGTGGGTAAGCACCCCTGTTTCTAAATGCAAAATTAAGAACTCAGTGCTGATTATTCTAAATAATTTATTTAAACAGTGATTTAAATCAGAGACTTTAGAGAAGGATGCATACACAGGACGTTTGTTAAATAAATAAAAATACAACAGTTATTAACATGGTCTTAAGAAAATTCCCTGCATTTCACATTTTCAAACAGGCAGATTGACAGCAATGTCTATTTGTGATCCAGTGAGAATAAATGATGAAACAAACTTCCACTGAAACTTCATCAATTCTAAAATGTCTCGCTATCATTGAATTGACAACAACTTTATAATGCTTTTAGTGAAGAAATCCATTTATAACACTGTCACGCTGAGGTGCAGCTGTACATGATGTACCAATTTAAGTGAACAGCATGGGTGTTATAAACAGATAAAAAGTTTTCCTTGTTTTGCAGAACCTGAAGAAAAGTCAACACTGTAAGTGTAAAAAATACAGTACCTCAATTTGCATTTTGAGATGAGTCTTGAAGTTTGAAAGCAGAGTGAGGAATATTGACAAGGAGAGCTCAAATACTTCAGGAACGGATGAAACACCATTTTTTGACAACGCTACACAGAGGTACTGCTTTATAGCATTAATAAACATCTCATTTGTTTTGAAGATAGGCCCTGCATTTTGTAGAATTGACAGGAGAAGCTGGAGGGATAAAACCTTTGATCGAAGTTCATGAGACCTAAAGAAGAAGAAAGGAAAAGCTCACAAAAGTACCGGAAATTCATATTTAATTAAGAATGATGATAATGGTGAACTGAACGACCCGGATTAAGTTTGGTTAGTTTCCCAATTTCAATATGGCTGACATACAGAGTACCCTTAGCTTCCAAAGGAACTGGCCTGGTAACAGAAATTCAATTTGTCTCCCGGACTGTTAGACTGGTATTTCCTGAAGATGTTTGGACGACAAACACAGAAAAGATACCCTTAATGATCAGATTTTGTTATGCTAAAGATTTCATACTAGAGGCTTCACAAATTTAAACTGTAAGAAAGATTCAAACAATACAAACACAAATATAACTAAAAAGGTTTTGTTTTCCAAGAACTTCAGATGTCACCATTTCCTTTCCTAGGCCAGTTACCTTCAGGCACATCATTCAACAGAAGTGTGTAAGAATCACCTGTTCTGCATTCTGAATATTCATCCTATAAAGAGGTGAATATTAGACCTACTGCCTTGTCAGTATGAAACTGACGACTGCCCCTTTAGTATGAAGCCAGATCCTTCATTACACTTGTATAGAACTTCATGCGGTCAGAGCAAACTGAAAAACAGTGAATGAAAATCAATTTAGCTAAATCAATTCATGACCCATGGCACTGGTTATTATGTGGAATAAAGCTCAACTATGGGAACTGCACAAAGGAAATAAGTCAAAATCTGTACATGCAAAAGCACCTAGGTTTACATAATTATCATCATCAATGTCCATAAAAACTGTGCTCACAGTCTAACGCTCAAAAAGCATCAATAGTTGATTCTGAATGTAGCGTGAATTGGCTGTAAGTGCAGAGCAAGCCACTTTACACACCTCTGAGAGAGTCAGACACCAGAAACAAGAGCAGCGTTCCAGAATAACTGTTAATTAAAGCCCTGAGCCCTTAATAGAAAGAAGTTCTTCGAGCCTCTGAAGATTTCAAATTCACCACGGACCACTGGCTATTACTTAACTTACTTCATCCAGTTTTTCCAGGAATTTTTTCCTGCTGTCTTCCTGTAAGTTACAATCAGACATAGTCTACAGTTGGCTGAAAAGAGAACCACCTGCTTAACTTTATTTTATGACTTAAAGAAAAACTAAATGTAAGGTGGTACTAGTAATCCAGTATTCTCTGAAAAAAGCTAGGTTTAGAACACTCAAACTACAAAACAATTACCAGTTTTCTTATTGTTAGCATATCTGAACATATTTTACTCATTAGAGAAGTCAGTGTTGTATAGGCTTCCTCAATACAAAACATTTAATTGCTTGAACTTAATTTCTGACAAGAAAATAACACTTGGAACAATAAACATTGTAAATGAATATGTAAGTACATTTAAAAATACAGACTGAAGTGTTCAATGAAAAGCTGCCTTCATCTCTCTAGACATGAGGATGGAAGCTCAATCCACTTTCTAATCGCTTAAACCAATTCTGGGTCGCAGGGGACACACAGCCTATCCCAGCAAGCACCAGGTGCAAGGTGGGATACAGCCGCAGGTCTCGCACACAGAACCACCTCATTCACAAATCGAACTGAACCTCTGCAGCAGCAGAAGCTTGTGCACGTGTCATTTTGCGTGACAGAATACTACCTTCTGAAAATGACCAACAGCCTTGGTATTGTAACTGTTCCACATTCATCAAAACTCAACCTAGCTCAGGAAAAAAGGCTAACAAGTATGAACAGCAGTTCAGTTTAACACAACCACAGCTCCTGCTTAAACCTGACTCTGAACTCAGGGGTGAGGGTGCCTGAGCCAAACTGAGCAACACCTTTGGTTTGGCTTTTTTAAATATCGGGCAAGAAATGATTTATCTTCTGATGCACAATGCTTATTGTGAAAATCGCTTTGTCTAGCAACCTAAAAACACTCTGATGTTTTTTTCCCCCACCTAACAGACAGACGGTACACAGCCTGAAATGTTCAACCGGGCTGAGTAAGCACAGTGTGGGCGGAAGGCTGAAGATACTGTACGAAAGTCACAGTGTCTGCACAAGTCTCCTTCAGCTGGCCATTTCTGAAGAGGGGTCAGGACTTCACATATTAATGTTCAGCTGTGAAACATTTAGTTTAGGAACATATATAGCTAATATTTCTCATTTCTAAGAATGATAAACAAAATGATAAATGAAAAGATGAGAATTTTAACTCCCTACTGCTCCCCATCTTCTTTGGAGAAATAAGCTTACAGCATAGTGCCTCTTACAATCTGCTTATTGCTGAGAACAGATCTACAAGGACATGGCAAAGTTTACAATGTTGATCACCCAGAGCTCTTCCCAGACTTTATTTTGATGCAAAGTGCACTGTACTTTGGTGCTTGTGCTCCACTGTGAAGGGCAATATTCACTTCAACATATTCAGCATTTCACTGTAGTGTGAACAGCTCTTTAATGAGGAGAGGTCGTTCTCTACTACATCTAAAGAGACAGAAAGGCTCACATCCCTTGGAAAACTGCAGAACAGGACATGGCAGTTTCTAATGGTAGCACACTACAAAATTTTTCATGCCCATAGAACGTTTTGCAAATGTGCAAGATGAATAATAGATAATCAAAACAAACACTTAAACTTTCAGAACCTTACAACAAAAGAGAAAGAGAAGAGTTTCTCAATGAAAACTAATGTTAACTGTCACAGATAGACAGTGAAAACTGTCTAGCGTTTTAGTATGAATATGCAGTCATTAAAGCTATTTTTTAATTTTAGAAATTAATTTTATTGTTAAACAAAGAGCATTATACTTTCATAAAACACCCAGACCTTGGAGTCTGGAGCAAATATAATATCTGGCATTTAATTGTACTGTATATCCCCATTTGAATAAAAAACATGATTAAAAATGTTCCTGAAAAGTTTAAAAAAACATTTTAATTTTTTTTTGCCATTTCTAAAAAAAATATAAAGCCACAGGATTAGGCAGATTACATTAGCAAAGGAAGTGTTTTAAAATTCTTTACTTTTAACTAAACTGAATATCTATCTAATCACAATAGCAATTGAACGCACCACCAAGCAGGTTCTTATCTGCTCAGAATTACTAAACTGACACAAGGCAACTGAGGTCTATGCAGCTAGAGAGATTTCAGAGATGTTATGTAAATCTACACACCTTACTGAATAACCAAAGAGCATGATTAAACCTAGCACTGCATGTAATGTTAAAAGGCCTATGAAATGGATCAGTGAATTCACAGAGGGTGCTTGACTCCAGTGTTTCCCTATGCTTGTTCTGAGCAGCTCCAGTGTGTCCGACAGTTTCCGTTCCAACTGAGCTCTTTAATGCTGGCACTCATTCAACTGACTGGCTTCTTTGCTTGTTTACAGGTTGGTTTACCCTTTTCTGCATTCAGTCCTTGGTTTCAAAAACACGGAATTTTAAGTTTCGTTATGCAGTCTTTCCTCAAGTTATGAGTTTGCTTACTTATTTCTGTCTCAGCAGAAGATCACCTTATTTGTTGATCAATATATAATGAGAAGACACAGGATTGATAATGTATCAAACGCTCAGTGCTTTTCTTCATTCTCAAGCGGTTCAGTTGGTTACATTTCAGCTAAAAGCTAAACAGGGGGAGTTCCAACACTGACAAACAGGCACAGGGCTGATAAAGTTCTACAATCCCATTCAAGCTTTTAAGAGCTGAAAGCCATTTTAAAAATATGCCTCAAAGAGAGAAGTGAAGTCAACTACCCTGTAATAAAGACCTCAGCTGGAACAAATACCAGAAAACATACAGTAGGAGTCCCCCATGACCAGTGTCACTGTCATACATACTACAGAACCTGCATGATACAGTGAAAGAAATGTTCTATCTGGTTTTTCGGTCTACTGTGTAACAGGAGAGCTAATGCAATTTAACAACTGAAAATCAAGCAAAGCTGCTGCTGAGTATTATGTGGTTCAGACTGCTTAAATGTGAGCGCCAGTTGTAAAGTGACACCAGTTATCACGTTTAAGAAAAAAGTACACAAAATAGGCTTACTTGGGATCAGGGGGCCCATCTGAAAGGGGTTTCATTGAAAGCTTGCACAGCGACCTAAAGACTAAAAAGGCATCCTTTTGTAGAATGTGGGAAAACTTAGCACCAGGAGAGGGTCCTGTGGTCACTCCAGATTCCTAAGGGGATAACAGGGAATTACAGCAATTCCATTCACTGAATTGAATTTTTATAACACAAGAAATCCCCTGACAGAACATCAAAATCTCAATCTACTGCTTGTAGCCTTCCTAAAAGAAATGGAAATTGATTTCATAATCACGGTCCATCAAAAACCAGAATAGCACAGATTGTGATAATGATGTTAAGAAACACTATGTTCTGTGATCAGGCATATATTTATACCATTTGCTGCACAATAGAAACACAGTACAAAACAATAGCTGTGAGTAAACAGTTGCGTTTCTGATCACACAGATGTCCAGCACATCTTACAGTCTGAGATCGTATGTAAAAAGACGTGCAACATTGTACCTTAGAGAAGGGGTTCCCAAATCCTGTGCTTTGAGGCCCAATCTCAGTTACAAAATCGAACCCTTAAATGACTTCACAATAAAATTAATTTGAACCATTTGAGTGTTTTCAGCTTTTAAACATGCTGGAGGTTGCCTTTTAACTATAGCATTTCCGTAGAACATAACATTCCTAAAGTCTGAGAAGAAAACAAAAATACAGTCGAAACCCCTTGTTTACACTTTTCAAGGTTCTCAAAAAAAGTGTAAACTGTGGGAAAAGGTAATATAGACAAATATTCAATCACAGAACATTAAACATGACACATCTTTGGTATCAGATTCTTCGCAATTGTGTTTAATGTAGAAATCATGCTATTCAGCCAATTCGCTAATTCAATTCAATTCGCTCAACTTTTTCCTCAGGGGAAATGGTCTTCCTTTCATTCTTCCTCTCCACGTTGGGCTTTAAAACACATATTCAATTTAAAAAAAAAAATGCACAACGCACACAAGACAACCGTACAGCACAAACACTGAAACAGGAGGCTTTGTTTTGGTTGGGACTGGAAGAACAATGACGTACTGTACATAGCGGGGGAAAAAACGTAAACACCGATAACGCAAATACGGGGTTCGACCGCACTTGCAATTATTTCAAATCAAGCAGCTCGATCGCTCATTTAAGGGTTCGATTAGGTAGTGGAAGGAAACCCGGTAGGCGTGTGGGCCTCCAGCACCAGGATTGGGAACCGCTGTCCGAGGGGAAGGTGCGCTTTAAAAGAGTTTGCTCCCGGCACAGGAGGAGGCTCTGGGAACAGCTGAGACGAGCGTCGCACCTGAGTGTCGTTGGAAGAGACGGACAGCCTGTCATCGGGCAGGGATGGGGCGAAGCTGGCGGAGATGGGAGTTCCAGGGATGCCGTTGGCGTGGACGTGCTCGCTGTCGCTGCCCAGCCCCCCTTCCTCCTCCAGGGAGCCGGGGGTCCCCTCTGCGCTCTCCCCGCCTGCACTTTCCCCGGAATCTACACCGAGGTCAAGCAAGGGCTCCACTTCAGCGCAGACGCCAAACCATTCGCACAAGATCAAAACCGACGACGCAGAGAGGGCAAGGGAAACCATCTGAATCATATTTCATCTGATGAGTGTCTCTCCTTTTAAGCTGATTTAACCAAATGGATGTGAATGAACAGAGGCAGTACAGGTATCATGAGCTACTAAGTGGTTTGTAGTGAACATAGTGGTTGATGGAACTCCACCGTTAGAGCATTTTAATTCTTAAATGTAAAATGTAAAAATGTTAAATGTTTCTTAAGTAAAACAAAGATGTCTATAGCTGATGTGCACTGTGGGGTTTTTTGTATGTGTATTGAATTGTATTGTTGACTGCACGTGTTGAGGAAAAACAACAAAACTTTAACAAATAACAGAATGCAAAATTAAAAGGAGGAAAACTGAACGACAGCAATTACATTACTAAATGTAACTTCTGTCGTATTTTGTGGTCAAAATGCTCATACTTTCTGTCATTTGCATTTAAAGAAATTTGAGCATTGCAACATGAAATGGCATTAACAGCCAAGAAATGTTTTTAATTGATTTAGTGAGCAAAAGGCAATGTGCACAGTGCTTCCTGAAACAATACACAGTAGTTCAGGTGGGTAGCTGCGTCAGCATGCGTAGGCTGCAAAGGAACAAGTAACAGGTTTATTCCATGCTGAAAAAAAGAAGAAAGAGAACACAACGTTTCGGCCGTGGAGTCACAGCTGAAACGTTGTGTTCTCTTTCTTCTTTTTTTCAGCATGGAATAAACCTGTTACTTGTTCCAATACACAATACAGTTAGGTGTATTGGAACAATACAGTTAGGTGAGCACTGAATGGTTTTCCTCCGGGTTAACTGTTCAGCTAACTGAAAGGTCTACAATATTTGGAGCTTCACATTCATCGTTGAACAACAGTCCCAGAGGCGTCATAGTTCCCTATTGGTAAGCAGTCCTACTTACAGTAATTTAAGCAGGTAAACTTAAGTATTATGTCTTTCACTACACTGTTTATAACAATTTAATACTTGTTTCAAATGGCAAATTTAAAATACCTCCAACAACAGTGTTAACTACTTCCTTCAAGATGCTCTGCACGATTTCTTGAGCTTTTTCTTCATAATTAGGTGCTTCCTCTTCATCAATTACTTCCGCATCATGTTTAGATAGACCTAGGGACGGAAAAAAAAACGAACGAACATTAAAATAGTTCTAAACGACAGGAGGCCATTCAGCCCCCGTGGTGGTTGGTAGCTAATTGATCCGAGGATTTCCGACAGCCTTTTCTCGAAAGAAGTCAAGGTATCGGCTTCAACCGCAGGGCCGGGTAGCTTGTGCTGGGCTCCCACAACCCTTAACTCACAAGCACCTCCCATTCTCATTTTCAAAAGCAGCTCTGGAGTTCCCACTTGTGTCCTCTGTATTGTGCTCCACTGTTCGTCCAGACGTCCACCGGCTCACTCTGTCAGTGCCCTGCAGGATCTGGAAGACGTGAACTGTGTCCCTTTGAAGGCTGTGCCTCTTTTCCAGTTGGCACTGGACCTCTGTGTTGCCGGTGATGTGTTAAAAGAAGAGCAGCTCGCAGGCTGGTGTGTGAGAGACGTCTGCCCACACTTCCGCATTCTCCCAGGGTTTGTAGCCATGAGAGAGACATGAAAAACACACAACTGGCTATTCCCAATTGGCCTTCTTTCAAAACAGCAGATGTCTGCCGTCACCACAAGGTTATGTTTTATTATCTATACATGTTGCATATATATGAACTGGTTCTAAAAGTGTTGCCATTATCCTTTTTTTTTCTTATTTTACTCAAATATGTGCCAAATCGCTTCTAGTGTTAGTACTAAGCATGATAAGCAGTTATAATTTGTTTCTTGGTAATAGTAATAGCCTGTTGAATAACCTTCAGAGTAACAATTTCATGTTACAACAGGTTATTTTTAATACTGTTCTGTGCCTTCATACACTACACTGAAGGCATCACTGCTGAGTCATCTCGCAATGCCAGACTCTAAAGACCAGTATAAGAGAACAGTGGCATTAATCCTTGCTCCACGCAGGACTCTGCCTGACCACAGTAGAGGTTTTAGTTTTCAAACCCTCTCCTGTTGTAGCATTTTCCCTGTAAGGTCAAATATCGAACGGTTTCTAATGTCAAGGAAAGCTAGATCTCTTTTGAAGACATTTCTTTAGTGTTCCCTCCATACGTACTACCTAATGCACAATTTGTCTTTACAACATTTTGAATAAAAATAGCCAAGAGCAGGACAAAAAAAAGTGATTCATGACAGAAAAATTCCTCCTTTGCAACTTCTTTGAAAGCTGTTAACTACTTCAAGGCACGGAGTTTTTTGATGGTCTGTTAATGACCAATAGTGAGCAATGAAATGCCTCACTGATCGAGAGACATATCTGTGGAATCAACCAAACAGCTCTTTTCCTACGTGCCCACTTCACAGTTGTTGTCAGCAGCCTATCAGTTTTCCTCTTCAGCTCTCGGCAACAGTATTTATTGGCCCTGCTGCCGAGCTCCTGTATACACCAAACACTGGTCCTGAATAAGAGACAAGAATCCTCTGCATATTTTCTAAACCACGCAGTAGCATTTTAACACATTAAGCAACAGTTCTAATCAAAATCAGCCCACCAATTGGCATGTTATGACTAATATCTCACCGTAATGAAACCCAATTTAAAACAATCGCTGTGTGCGACTTTGGCTTATCAGGGAGGGCTCTGAAGCAGCACTGCTAATCTGGAGGAGTCCTGGAGGCCTGGGTAGGGCTTCCTTGTGTAGGAAAGGGGTAAAAAAGAAAAAACGAGTGTAAGATGCAGGGAGACAGCGAGAGATTTACTTTCAGCTGCGGCCGTGGCCTGGTCGGCCTCCGTCTGCTCGTTTTCCGCGCTGCAGAACTCCGATCCGTTTTCCGGCTCCGGGTCCTCCTGGGCGCTCTTTTCCGCCTCGCTGGCGGTGGGGGGCGCCCCCCCGTCGGGCTCCTGAGGTGGCGGCTTGGCCGGCTGCTCCTTCGGCCTCCTGAGCCGGGGGGAGTCGGGCTCGTGCTGGCTGACGGGGGACTGCTGCAGGTGCTGCTGCCTCTGCCGCTCCTTCTCCATCTGCCGCGCCTCCTGAAACTGCGGCGACACACACGACATCGGGGACAGCGGTGAGAGTGAGCCTGCGAGCGGCGGCAAAACGCCTTGCAGATTACCAGCCCCACCGCTACCAGCCAAGCTAACAACGCATCCCGTTCTCTAGGCAAGAAGCATCACTGATGCCTTGAGCATCTCCCGTCTTCGGGAACAGGCCAACAGAAAACAAAAATATTCACTCCAGCAAGGAATTCTGTAACCCAAGACTGTTTCTGTTACGTGATCCAATTAAAGGGTGTTAAGCATGGCTTTAAAATCAGTTCTGCTTGAAAAGATTGGTAAATAGCAAATTAATTTACTCGTAATACTCAAAATGTCTTTAGGTACAGTGCTACTCAGCATATAGATTCACTTTCACATCCCTCTTAGGAGCCTGAAAGAGCACAATACCCACTGTATATCAGAAGTCTAAAGAAAGGTAGCTTGTGTCTTTCAGTTTCTCTTCAATTCCAACTGGCCACATTCTAATCACGGGAAATTGTTGACAGTGGTTGAGGTGCTGCTTTCGCCGAGATGTAAGAAAGTTGTAAATTGTGTGCTCCGCATCAGCCTTTGCTACTGTACTGTTCCCTGCCCTCAGCACTGCAGCGTCGTGTCATTAGGCCAGACCCTGGGTGCAACACGAGCCAACAGAGGTACCCCTATCATCCTAGACCCACACATGCAGCTTCTACGGCTTGTGTCTTCAGTGATTTGGTTGCTCACATCAATTTCTGGCACGTACGGTGATCACTCATGAAACAATATTTCAATATCGACCAGACTTAGAGGCAGAACAAAGACATAAAAAAGTATGGCTCAGGCAGCATTTCCTTTATAAGGCGTCCTTGGTCTGGAATACTCTACACAATCTAAAAAGCAAAAGCAGCACTTTGTGTTGCACAGTTGTGCTGCTCCACTAATTAAGAAATTAATGAAGAAACAACACCTTTAAGAAATGTACAGTAAAGAAAACTATTAGAACAAATGCTCTATACTGACATTTTAAAACCATGGTTATCTTTTCATATTAAGAAAATATATTTTCTACCCACCTGAAGGATAACAATATTGTGGGTCCAACAAAATCAGCTTTTTTATAGGTGAAATACCTGTCCATTTAATTTGACAACTGACTGGGTTTTTCTTCACTATTTTCAAGCCTAGTCACACTGACACACAGAATTTGCTATTTCATTTACCTGTAATACTCAAAATATGTAGGTGCAGCACTACCTAGCATATAGATTATATTGTCAATTCTCCTGCACTTCTTATTTAATTTTAAATCAAATTCCAGATACAAAAGGGGCATCTTAAAATGACTCTCATTAATTTTCTAGAAACAGATTTCATCATTGAGTAGATGAAGTACTGTACAGTATTAGGGACCCATATCCATTTACATATGACTTCCTGATGAAATTATTAGTTATCATGTTTTTAAAATGGAAATCATTAGAATAAAACTTTCTCTTAAGTTAGTAATTTTTGCTTACAGTTAGTCTGTGCACTGATTGTGCACTGAACATGCCTCCAATTTTACAATCTAAAAATCACAGAATTCCTCTGCACAACAGCAAAGCAAGCAAAGGTTCCAGGTTGTAAAACAAAAGATAGTGGACTTCAAAGCTGGGCCACACAAAAATCGAAGCACAACAAATTTATGCACAGGCTACAGATATTACTCCTGACATGAATTTGCGAACACTTACAGAGACTGACTGAGCTGAAAAAATGCTTCTTCTCAACAGCTTCTAAGAGTTGAAATTTAATTATTTAAAGAAGAACTCAACATCAGTAATGCGAATGACAACACATGGGTTTGCATTAACAATCAATTACAAATTAAAACATGTGTATCTCATTATACTTTAATGAAAAAAATTCAAATAATAACAATTTTTTTTAAATCGGTATTCTAAATATTGCTTTTCATGAAAGCTTAAATATACTGCATTACCTCTTTGAAATAAATGGGAATGAAACACATCAATATCAATGGCTGCATTAAATGTGTGCCACATTTAATTTAAATAAACCAGTAAATTTACAAGGACTTCACAGGTGTATCATTAATATAAGGACTGTCATGGTGAATCTGAAAATCTGATTGACAGGATGATGTTTTACAGTCTAAAAAAGATAATTTTGCCCGAATCAATTGAATTTTGTGGTGCTTTGATCCAGATATAAACAGAACAGATTTTGTGACTTTAATAGCCAATAATGTGCACTGATTCTATAAAGGAATTTGGAATAATCTCAGTGATAGTAAATAAATAAATCAATAAATAAATAAAGATAAAACCAATATGATTAGTCATACATAGGGAACCCTTTACCTCCTACAATACTCTTTATTCCTGAGAAAAAAAAACAGATTAAAGCAGATATATAATTGGAGTTCAAAGAAAAAGTTTGAATAATTAGCACTTCATTAAAACTTTTTACCAATAAGGAAGAAGGCTTAAATTTATAATTGTCAATCATTTTTATTATACCCTCCCGATTTGTAACTGGCCACTACATGTTTTTCACATATCAGCTTGCAGCAAGAAACACCGTGACCGCACACGGGGGAGAATAAGGAAGTGAAGGCAGACTCCTCTGCCCCGCCCACCTTTGAGACGCACCAAGCTCTGTCCATGACACACAGTGCCAGCTGGAGGAAGAGTTCCTCACCGACGGCGCCTGTATGCAAGTGCAAGTGTCACTGTGTCACAATGTCACTGAGAGCAGGGGAGGACACCCTGTCCTTAGCTGGTCTTTGCCATTTTGTGTCAACGCTTGGGGAACGCAGGTCAATAAAGGTGAATAAATGGTAATGTGATCCAGACTTCAAGCCATGATCATAGAGCTCACCCTAAGAGAGTGAGCCAGTCAGGAGGCCCCTGACAAGAATTATTCTAAACCAGTATAAACTACCAAAACCAGTGATCCGGACTCCCAGGTTCTGTGCAGCCACAGACATGCAGGCTTGATCATATTAGCAGGCATCTCAAGTGGATAACAAGTCCACTCACTTGTGTTTTTCTGGTCTTTCTGCACCACTGGTTGAAAAGTACCTCTAAAACCCGCAGGAACCCAGCACTCAAGGATCATGGTTGCCTCCATTCCCCTGCTTTAAAGAATTCTTTAAAGACTGAAGCCGGGGAAACATTTGGAAACAAGCCCTGTTCAGTCAATTATTGATTCAATTAGGTTAATAAGGACTTGGGTCTTGAATGAGATCATGTGGTTGTGCAGGGTCAGCAGGAACTGAAAAATCAGTTTTCTAAACATTCTTAACAGCTTCTGATGACTCAAAACAATTGATTGCAACTCTGAAGACCCACAGTATCTTCTGGGTTTTGTTCCAAACGAGCTCTGAATGTCTTTAGTGGACCCATCACCAATGGGTACGGAAAGCTTCCCAGATCTCTGCTTATTGACCATTTAATGGTGTCAACACAGCCTGCACCCCCAGATTTATTTGCTCTTTATTAAAGTACTGCTGTTTCAGCACACGCTGTTCCTCCAATGGAAACATTGAAGCTTTTAGAAGCTGACTGACTGCTAATGACTATGTGCCATGTGCGTATAGTAAGCAATATTTCCGACTGGCTATGAGGGCATTTCTGGATCCTATAGATTTAAACTAAGCATGGCACAGAAAAAAATAATATATATTGTGCCACTATTACAGCGGATTTTTATGCACATAAATAACATCCTACTCAATTGGATCACAAGTGTGAAGCAGGCTGAAGTCACCTAATTTATATGATAGTACTAGTGCTGAGACGTGCCAATGAGCCATCTGAGGATATCTGAGGACCTCTCCTTAATGAGTCTAAAGCTACGTAAATAAAAGTTACATTTAGATTGCTAAAAATGACAACGCTTAAGGGATTGTTTGTTACATCAACTTACTGCGATGTCCTCTTAAAAAAGTTTATAAAACAAGAGAAGGCTGTTGAATTAATCTATTTTTTTTTTTCAAAAGCCAACTGAAGGATCAAGGATCTCAGTCCATTTCTTGAAAGACGTTGGGTTATCTGCTTCAACAGTGTATCTGGGCAGCCTGTTACACACTCCTGTGAAACTTCAACACTTTCTCAGAATGGTCCTATAACACTCTAATTTACCCTGCCTGTCTACACACTCTTTCCAAACATTGTAACACACAGCCTCGAAGTGAAAAAAACAATGCTCAAACATTTTAATGAGTTCTGATGTCAAGCTGTTAGGCGACAAAATGTGTTATTTCAGAAAGGGTGTGTAGACTTTCTATAGGCACTGTAGCCTTGAAGTTCCGTGTACTTGAAACCTAGCTTTTAAGTAAAGTTAAAGACTAAATTGCATGATGTTTCACTGCAGGGCAACTGAGTTTTAAGAAAAAAAAAAGACGGACACTTTGCAATAACTTCCTGCATAATGGAAGTGTCAATATAATTTTGAGAAAAGACCATGTGCTCAAGCACATTTCAAAATATGCTGCTCTGAATTGGCCGAGAGTAAATTTTTAACTGAATACACACTCACACACACACCCACAAATAGGTAAAAAGAGAAGAAATAGTATTCATTTACTCCCCTTTTCTGTAATCCTAACGTGACTCCTATAATATTACCAACTGGTACTGTATTACACAGATTGAATCGAATGGACCCTATGAATTTCATTCTTATAAATCTAGTCAGTATCTCCGAATACTTCAAATATAATGCTAGTCTCTTATACTTTTATTATTAAAGCATCTGGTAACACTTTTTCAAATTCAAGTAATTACCAAGATGGCTTTATTAAAAAACAAAAATAAAAATAAGGTGCTGTTCACGTTTCTGTGAAAATGCAAACACAAAAGGCCACAGCAAGCTGCAGAAATAGCTTCGAAGCATCCTGCCAATCAAGGTCTGCCGTCAGAAAGAAGAGTCAAGCCAAGGCACACACTGGAAGACCTGTATTCAAGCACTCCAAGACACCCCTTGCGTTTTACCTGTCGCTCTCTCTTTCTGGAGGCCAAAGACCAAGTAATCTTGTGATTTGTAAGCTACAGTTCAGGAGGAAAAGTGTTCATTAAAAAATCAGATGTGAAAAAGTTGTATTTTTCTCATTCACAACACAGTTAGGAAGAGGTTAGCGACTTACTGCTTGGTTTTCCATTCTGGCAAAAATGACGTTCAGCATCTGTGTGAGGGTGGCCTTGGCTGTGGTTTGATTGATGAGGTTCTTGCTGGCCAGATAAATATTGTAGCATGTTCGCACAGCCTGCAACACCGTCCCCTCGTGAATTTCTATCTGCTGAGACGTAACTGCCGTGAGCAAAGCCTAGGAGAGCACATGAACACAAGACGCACAAGGATGCGTGGTTTAAACGTTGTGTCGGAAAGGCCAGGTATAAAATAGGAGTAAAATTGATGTAAAAAAAAATCACATTTCAGACCTGTTAATAAACTCCAAGTCAAGAACAAAAATGTCAATCTGACTTGATTTTCTTCAAATGCTGCCTGTTTTTGACTGTGCCACATTGATCCAAACAAATGGAATATGAAAACCGTATTTCACATGGAATAATATTGAGGTTCCGTGTTTAATGAGGCAGAAATGCTTTCATAATGCCAAAAAAGGCAAGAACAGGAGACATCACTCCTAACGTGCACAGCCCCAATGGAAACACCATTATTTTTACAAGAGCAACCAAAACCGTCACTGAGCTACTGAGACAGAAGTGTTTCCCCTTCTCAAAACCTGAGGGAGGCTCAACTGTACTGATCAATCATCCTTTATATAAATATTTAAAAACTTTAAGCAGGTGGCTTCCGTTACGGTTATGGGTTTTTCGCAGTTTTTCAAAAATACAGTTCACTATGTCAAACAAAACAGCAACAACAAAAAGTACAAAGATTCTGAAAATAACAATGAAAACTGAATAGACTTTTTTTTATTGTCCTGTACCAGGAAGACCTTTTAATTCTTCGTGTGAGGCAGTATTCCTCACTCCCAGTCCTGGAAAGCAGCAATTCGGAGTGTTTTGAAGATCTGTCTCTAAACCAACAGGAGCAGAGTGACTAAGTTTAGAGCCTTCAACCGAAATCGCCTCCTAAACCTACTTCCAGGTTGAACAGGGCTTAGTTTGCTAGTAACCAGGGACCAGCTAAGCTAGACTGTGTTGTGCAGGCCTACAACAAAGTTTCCATCTGATAACCTCTTTGTCCAATTCAGGGTTGCGGGGAAGATGGAAACCTATCTTATTACGGAATGGGCATGTGGCAGGCTACACCCTGGACGTCACACCAGTCCATCATGGGGCGCACACACACACATGCATGCACAATCAGACACTTCTTTTGAAATCCGTTAATAAAGCAGAGAAGTAAATTAAGAACAAGCTCTTATTCACAATGATGACCACTTACAAAGCAGGGCATTTCCTGGAGCTCCTCAGAGTACCATACTTCGGTAAAGGCTACAACAACAGCGTCCCACCTAGAATCTGAAGCCAAGACCCTCAGGTCTGAAGTCCAAAGCCCAAATCACTGCTGCCCTTAGTTCTTCTGATCTCATCCGTGAGAAGAAAGAAAAGTCTGGCTATTTTCACCACGCTGTGCACTCACCTTTATAATCTGCAACTGGACACCTTCGTCAGTCTGTGGGCCCTGAAAGCAGCCACATATGGTCTCAATTATTCTGTCAATGAGTTTCTTTCCAGGTGCAGTGCTATCTGGGGCACTTCCGGTGAGGTGTCCATAAGCGATGAGTTTCTGAGAGAAGAGAAAAAGTAGAAGCTTAAATATTAAGGAAGTCTTGTGCTTCATTCACAAAAAAAGAGTCCAGTGAAAAACCTGTCTGATATCATTATAGGAAAAGTGAGGAAGACAAGATACATTGAGACTCAAATCCAGCAGTCATTCCATTCCAAAGGTTCAAACCAGAGAAGGAAAAAACACACATTTCATTCTTTATCTTTCATCAATAACACAAAAATGATCTATGAGACAACAGGAATATAGACAATACAGCATCCACCAGAATTCTGCTGTTTAGACGTGGGTAATAAAACATTACTATACCAAAATGTTGTTTAAACCAAACAGCAATGTTAAATGCATCTTCTTGTGATATTTACAAATAATTGAACCTCCTATTTAATGTGCACACCCTTAGTTTGTTATTGCTTCATCCTGCATTTTTATTGTCTGTTCTAACTGTTCCATCAAAACACAAGCTAGCCCTCTGAAATTCAACAACGGTATATTGTTGCTGTGCACAACTACATGATCCCTCACCTCCAGGTTTTACAGTTCAGCACAAACCTAATTAGGTCCATCGAAATCTTTCTAATAATCAGATTTCAGAAACCTTTTCAGATCCAACCGCAAGAGTATATTAAACGCAGAACGCATTGCAAAAACTAAGATACTATACCAACTAAGAAGATTACTATACCAAAATGTTGTTTAAACCAAACAGCAATGTTAAATGCATCTTCTTGTGATATTTACAAATAATTGAACCTCCTATTTAATGTGCACACCCTTAGTTTGTTATTGCTTCATCCTGCATTTTTATTGTCTGTTCTCAACATTGTCTGTTGTAAATATGAACTATTTAGAATAATGACAATCATTTTCACAATTTTCTCTCATATGGCTTTGGGAGATAAGCTACATGCAAGGAAAATCTGCCAATGAGCACTGAGGTAGGGACAGCAACAATAAAACATTGAGAAGAGAAAAAAGCACAGCGCCGCTGGATTCAGAAGCCATTTGTTAACAACCCCCAGTACTGACCTGTAAACAGTCTAGAGACGTGCTGACAATGCGAGGACATTTGGACTGACATGCTAACTCAAAAGGCAAGAAGTACTTGTCTGCTTCAATAAAGTTTGCCTTTGATTTGACTGGCGGAAGTGTACTGGAACCAGCCTTGGTATCTCCAGGGGGAGGACTAGAAAAAAAGAGATAGAGATAAAACGTAGTGACATAACAACAAAAAACAAAGCAGCCAACAGAATTTGTACTTTTTTTTATGGTTTACGGTTAAAACACAAGAAGGATTTGATTTAACTGAGACTTTTTCTCCTGCCTTCTGTCGTTAGCTGCAAAGCTGCATTCCAGTGAGTTTTCCCCACCCCTCTGTCGGTGAGAATGGTCAGATTTCTTACGGCTCAATTTGTTTCTCGATTCTGGTTCCTGGACAGAGTCAAACAACGATCACCAACAAACCCATCAGTTTTAGCCAGACTTCTCCAGTATGCAAAAGAAACCAATGCATTATCCCAGCAATGAACTCCTCATCATTCACTTTCTTATTATCGTATTCTAGTTACAATACTTTTTTCTAAATGAACAAACTTCACCCAGAAGGGATAATAACATATCACAGTACAAACCTTGATAAATGTTCATGAAGTGTCCCAGAAAACATCTTATACTATCTCTTGTGAGCATTGGAGCTGTATTTTATGTATAATTTTCTTAGGAGGGGAAGGGGGACCCTATTATGTTTATTTTTCTGTCAAAAAGAATACACATTTAAAAAGAGCTCACCTACAAAGCACAATCTCTCACAATCTCAGAAACCAAGGTGCACTGTTGCGATATATTCTGTCTTTTCTAAAATCTTGTGAAGGGCAGTACACCAAACAAACTGATTGATTTTGGTGATGTCTGTCTGCAATATCATTAGTTCACAACCAGGCTGCAATGTACCTGCACCACATAAGGAATTAGCTTATTTTAACCTTTCCTCAATTTTCTCTGGAAAGTAGAACTGTGCTGGACAAGATGGCAAGAGAATGACAAGGCCACTGAGCTGTTTTCACAAAGCAGAAAGTTACATTTTCATTTGGCAGGCTTGGCCAGGGTGAGATCCTGGGGCCCAGAATACAGCAGAGTGGAACAGATTTGAGATGGTGGCTAAGTGTTCAAATTTACACATGACTACTGTCATCTCATGAGCTTTTACACAGACAGAAGAGTGACTCCACCTGAGCAGACACCTTCCACAGCCTCAGCACAGCTTCCCCGGACATCCTACTAGATCAGAAAGCCATAAGAACATGAGTAAGGAGGCCTTTCAGCCCATACAGCCTGGTTGGTACTTAGTTGTTTATTGATCAAGTGTTTCATCCAGCCACATCTTGAAAGCTTCAACTAAATGGCTTTATTCAGAAGCAACTCCACTGGCTTGTGTCGGAATGAACACTGAAACATGAACCAGAGGGCATAAGGTCCAGTCACTAAGCCTCGCAGTCACATGGCTCTCTGGTCAAGCAGAGCAGCTCAAGTGTATTTCAGATGTCAGGAGTTTGACTCTAGTCAGGAAAGCACACACTCTACGTTTCATTTCACATGCTGAGAAAGCAAGGGAATCAAAGCCTTTGTATCTGTCGCTCTCCCAGCTGGGATCCTGCAAAAGAAGGCATTAAGACAACAAAGACAAACAGAGAAGAAAGCTAAATGAAACTGGTAGGATCTGAGCAAATATTACTCCAGGGCAACTGCTAATTGAATCAAAACTATACTTAGAGAGAAACTGGACACAACTGCTAATAATGTTGAAGTGAAAAGAAACAACTATTGATAAGGAACAAGTAAAGGTTTATTCCATGCTGAAAAGAGAAAAAAAGAAATGCTTTTCGCCTGTGGAGCCTTCTCTGGGTGTGACACTTCAACTATTGATAAGTAGCTGGGCTCATAATTAGTGGTGATTTATTCACCTCTATCCCTTTTAAACCTTTTCTTAGAATTGTTATTTTTGAATTTCACCTGTGATATGTGTGACACCAACAGGTATCACTTAGACAAAATATTAAAACGCAGGAATAGTCACATGATGCTTTCTTTCCATTTAAGTTTTCGAACCTGCTGTTCATCAACAAATCATGTTATGACAATCGACACTAAATCTGTTCCTATTCTACAATTTTCTCTGTGCAATGTATGGTAAGGATTCAATCCAAGTTTAATTGTGTTTTAATACTGAATGTGTTACATTAGTCTGTATTTCTACTGTCTTAACAATATAGTTAAGCCTCAAAGAATGCTTTTTATACATTCCTGTATACTGGATTTATAAGAATAATTCATTTCATATGCCCTAGATCAATAAAAAGCTTTATTTATTGTAGATCTGAATAATTCCACAAATTAGCTAAATCATTTTCACTGAAATAGGTGGGGTTTAGTGTTAGCTGGAGGAGATATGTAACTCTCCATGACAGCACTGTAAGTCCAGTGCCAAGCAAGTCACTAGAATACAGCACGAAAAGGACATTTGTAACTCAATGCTACAGTTAAGTTCTTTTTATCTTTCATTGTGGGATTAATCTCTGCTTGTTCCTTTGCCTCTTTACAGCTGATGCAGCTCAAGTATGTCACTCTATACGGACTTATCAAACTTACCTTAACTTTTCTGTTTCTTCTTTTATCTCCTCTGTGAAAAGAAGGAAACAAAACATCAGTATTTTTGAAAAAGATGTAGCTTGTGTAAAAAATAAACAGTACTCTTCAGTACAAAAAGAGGTTAATTTGTAGGCATAGGAGCTATACAGTATTGTGCGGTAACATGATTAGGAAAGATGTCTTAACACATCTGATTTCACGTCATTACACCATTGTTCGTTTATACATAGGTCTGTACCAGCACAGAAATATTTTAAAATACTTTTGAGGGTAACCCTAATTTACTTGGCTAGACATGCAACGTTTTGTAAAACAACATACAGTACATGATGCAAACACAACATCTTATTTTATATCTACCTTAATTGCATTTGCATCCACTACATATGAATTATTCCAGCTAATAACTCATGTTCATGCTGGAGGACACACTGCTTTTTTAGGAGACATCACTGTATCTCACTTTAACAGTGTTTCAGACGTGTCTGTGCCTCACCTCACTGTACCTGTGTGTATAAGTGGTAGCCAAGGCTTCGAAATACAGTGTAACACTGTCTTCAGTAAACAATTCGCACTGCACATTAAAAACATACTCTGCTGATCAACACTGGTGACTCCATGCTGGTTTTGTAGTGCTAACAGGCTTCAGAATCTGAAGTCTGCTTTCTCACTAAAGACTGCCAATTTTCTCAGAAAAATAAAAACACTATTTTGTATTCCCTTTTCCTTTTTCTATACTGGTTAAACTACAAAAAAAACCAAATGAACCAGAAGTTGTAACTTAGTTCTGTTAAGGCAAAGTGTTTGCACCAACCCATTTCCCTGGCACTTGACAACTCGGCAGTCTTAAAACACATTAACTTTAATCTCAACAGAGGCTGTTCTCCTCACTGCTGCTGAAATATTAATCATATCTCTAGAATGGCGTTAGGATATACCGTACTTTCAGGTTTGACACAAATTACTTCAAAATGCCGTTCACTGCTGAGAGTCATCAAAAGACTAAAATAGCAGGAACTTGGATCACACAACACAGGCCATGCATCTTTAGAATGGGCAATACGCCTAAAATACACAACTTGTATGAATAAATACACCACAAGATTTTAGAGATTCATGTTTACTGAGGTCAGGTGGTCCAAGTGGCTCTCTCTGTATATTAATCCTTAGAGGGTTCAACTTCTGTATGAGCCCTCTGTGAAAAACAGAAATGACAGGCTCAGCAGCACAGTCTCTTTAAAATACTGATTACAGGCCTCCTAGACAATAAACAGCATGAAGCCCTGCGGGGGAAAATACCGTGAACTGCCTGGCCCACCAGTGGAAATGCTCTAAAAGGCCTGAGCTGGCTGTATGTAGGAAGAGAGGACCAATTAGGCACAAGGAGATCACCATTTTTAACACCAACTCCTTTTTATTTGATAAAGACAGAAACCGGAGGAGATGTTTACATGCCTCAATGCCATCGCACAAGCAAGAAAGAATCAGAGTCGGTCAAGTCAAGTCTCCCTGACAGAGCTTTTGCGTTATCACAGCTCTTGCAAGTGCCCCTTCATTTTGGACACTCTCAGACAAGAGGTGACCCAAAATAACTCTGTGCCACCGAACCACCATCGCCCACACAGCCTTTAAGATTAAAAGGCCCGAGCGTGACATAATAAAGGCTAAATCTTTAGACTGAAATCAAATTGAAAGTCTACAGCTAATTCCTGTTTGACGACTGTTGTTTTGTGAAGATAACACTACTGATTTACAAGAGTAACTTAACAAAGAAAAAGTGCATTTTTGCTTCATGTGATTCTTTTTGTTATGGAAACTTCTCACAAATCGAAAAACACGGTCCAACCAGAAACTACACCCTGGATATATGAATTAAAGCAGAGGGGAAGGGGGATTCTGGGTATACCAAAATCGTTCATTGTACAGTAGTTAGTCGATACTAACGAGAAACTGCACTTAACCCACTTTTCTCGGTCCTTCAGTAATTGAAAAATAAAAGATCAGTTAGAAAACAAGTGGAAGCTGTCTTGCCAGTCTAGCTCATTTGGTACTTAGTAGCTAATTAACCAGAGTCTCTCACCCAGCTATTTCTTGAGAGAAGCCAGGGTGACAGCAAGGCTAGGTAGCTTCTTCCACACTCCAGTAATAGAAGTTAGTTCACATTTGTTTTAAATAACTACTTACAATTACTTTACTTTTAAAGTCTGTTAAAATATATCTGATGCTGAATGTTTGAGCAACAGATTTAGACCTGATATTCTTTTAAAGAGTTCATGTAGGGAACTCAAAGAATTTACACCATTGTTCTCCCTTGCATCTAGGTTATTTTGTATAAAAAGAGGAAACTCTACTTTGTAGATTCAGGTGAAAGTCTGAATAAAACAGGCATAACGTATAATTAATGCAATTCTAGAGAGTCTAGTGTATTGTGGTTTTTGTTCTATCTTGTGTAGTTTATTAAACTACCTAGTTTACCTAATTATTTTGGTTAAACATTTAGACATTAGCTAGGATTCATCTTAAGATGGTAGCGGTCAACTATTTAGAAAAATCACTTCACTAAGGTGCTGTTGCCTACAAAACATTGCAGAGCCTGGTTAGAAGTACTACAATCATGCACTTAATTACATAAATAGACCAACTATATAACCGAAAACTCAGGCGGAACAAAAAACCAGATGACACTAGACCTCCAGGAACTGTGACTGACAGCCCTGGTCTAGGAGAAAATACACTAAGTATGGAATACAAGAGTGAACCAGTCTCTTTTATTTAGGCGCTCAGGTCTCATTACTGACAGAGACCTTAAACCCTATTTCAATGAGAGATGAAGGGAGGCTGATGATGACGATGTGGAATTCCACCGTTTGGAGACAGGAAATATTCCAGTCCTTGCAACCATGGCAACCCTGTAATTCACCTCAGGCTCAACATAAAACTTCTGTACCAGCCATGTGCAGAGAAACCTTTTCTCTGAGCAATTTCGCTCTCACCTCTGCTACCGAGCTCTGGAGTGCCGCAGGCTTGCTTTCTTGTGAGACAACAGACCCACAGTAGCCACCTTGATCTTCGTGGGTTTCTGGTTCAGATAGAATTACAGGGTGTTTCCAAAACCACCCTGAGGCAGAAAACCGCACCATCTTCTACAGAGACACTGTCACAAACGGACAGGTATAAAAATAAAAATAAAAACTGCAAAACACCAGAATGACTCTGTTTGTAAATATACAGTAAATCACTTTAATGGTGCTATCTGTCACTCCTTTACAATGTTTACCCATTATCTTTAATCTTTACAAAATGCAGAACCAGAGTAACCTAAATAAACTGTAAATCACTCCTGAAATCAAATCTACATTTTCAGAAGAAAAAGATTAAGGCCCATGCCAATTAATATTCTAAACATTTTTCTGCATGTGAAATAAACCCGAATCATTATCATGTGGTGGAAGTCAATCGTTTCAGGGAATATGCAAATCAGCCATATAGCCCATTTTGCTCATGTGGTGGTTTAATAGCTAAGAGATTTGAATGAAATCTCCAATCAGCCCCCTTCCTTCTAGACAGAAGAGATTTCTGTACCTAACCTGTCTGTAGCCTAAATAATAATTCCACTAACACCAGGGATCATTCTGGTTACTCTTATTTCTAAGGTTATAATACTCTTTTGTAGTGTGGAGACCAAAACGGTACAATATTCTCTTTATCACTTCCACACGTTGCCATTAATTAGGACACTGAAGATCCCTTTAGTGTGTGGATGTCTGCAGCTCTGCAATGTGTAGTATGTTTTACTGTAAGTGGATCACTTTGTACCTACCTGTATACTGCAGATGTTACATTTGCCATGTGTAAGACCAGCTTGTGACTTTGTCTTGTTGTAATTCACTTACCACTACCTACTATTTATGAGAAAATCATTGATATACGCCAGGAAGACCTAAAATAGATTTCTGCAGTGCACTAATGCTCACATCTGCCCAATTAGAAATTATGCCACTTAAGATGGCACACTATTTCTAGTTCATTAGGCAGTTCATTAGGCAGTTCTCCATATGTACCAGTATTTTATGAAGGACCTTATCAAAAGCTTCCTGAATGTCTAAGTCTTATGCTACATAAGATACTTATGTAGATAGTTAAGATACTTATGCTAGAGTTTTATCACTATCTTTTTATCGCTATCCTGGCTTGTTTGGACAATTCTAGCAAGTTATGCAGGACCTTTTTAAATCCATGATGATCATTTTGTAAAATGCCATTGTTAGACTCACTGGTCTGTAGTTTCCTAGAGCCATTATTTACCCCATTTTATAAATTGTAGTTACATAAATTAAGTAACAGGCTATATGCTACAAAAACAAATCTGTCTGATGAAAAAGGAGAAATTCTGGCCCGCCACGAAGCGCCAGCCATAAGACAACTCCAAGGCCAGGAGGAAACAATGGAAACTCTTCCCTGAGGTAATGCTCTGTATTTTCCTGAGCTTGAAAGGGCTCTGTTCCTCCTATATAGCCAGAGCTCTAGTGTAGCAGGAAACAGAATGCCATTAACAGCATCCTCCATTACTTCTATAAAGCAGACAACCATGCAAATCTTCAAGAAAAATTACATTTGTAGGTGGGGTAAAAAAGAAATAATCCACTTGACAGAACATGAGCCTGCTCCTCAGCACAGCAGTGTAATTCCAGACACAAGTGACACAATCACTCTGGCACAGCCTGGGCCTCTAGGGACTGCTATCTTACATTGGTGATCCCACAACAGGTACTGACTGCCCAGCTTTCAGAAACACTGTCAACTCATTCGGTTTGTGAGGCAGTTCTTTTTAGGAGAGAAAATTAACCTTTATTTGTTTTTATTTGACACTAACCACAATTCCAGACAACTTTGGTTTAATCTTCCCAAGAGAACCCAGTGTGAATTTATTATTCATGAAACCTAGCCTATGGCATTATACCACTTTATACACAACACCACCAAATAGCTTGAACACACGCAACTACAAAACAAGCATTTTAGGAAGATCCT